TGTGATTGCTGGGAATCCAGGAGGAAGGAACAAGAATCACGACAGCGGAGTGGGGAGGAAGACCTGGTCACTGGATGGGTCCATGGGAGGAGGAGGAACCAGGAACAGGGAGGCCTCAGGAGATGAGCAGGAAGAAGCAGCGGGAAGCACGAGAGATTGGAGAGCTCCTAAAGCATGCAAGGAGGAGCACCGGTGCGAGTTTTGAATGAAAATAAAATACACAGGCAAAACCAACAATAATAACAACAAAAGATAGCAGGAATACAACTGATAAAGGAGAAAAGTGAACACTCTAAATATTTTAACGGATGACAAACATGTTGGGGAATAGGCATGGAGCCATTGGAAGCGTTGCAGGGGTGCTCCTGCTCTCCCCTCAGGTTTAACCATCCAGTGGACAAACTAAAACCCTAGATAACGCTACTCTTTGTGACTCATAGTAGATCATGAGTAAGTTTGGAAAATACAGGAAAACTTGCCAATTCTTAAGAAGAGTCTGGAAATTAATTAGTACAGCCAGTGGCTGTGCTTTGCATGCCTATATTTACATTTGCTGGAAGAACTTGATTTGTAGCTAGACATTTGCAAACCTAAACATGTACTGTACATGTAAAGTTTAGGTTTGCAAGCAGTAAGTTCCGTTCAAATGAGCTGAAGGGAAATTACTTGTGGGAACAACGAATAAACAACAACAACAAAAAGCAGGCACAGGACCTGACGCCCCCAGAAAGTGCTTCTGGATCAGGCCTTTAGTACCACTGCAAACAACTCTGGGGGTAGTTCTCCAAGAAGGAGCGGAGCCAGGGAAGCTCCAGGCCACCGACTCCCAACTCGGAGAGTCTCCCCAGGAGGATACATCTGGACCCGGCGCTTACTATGGAAACCCAGGTGGCGTCCGTGGTCCGTTCTGCCTATTTTCTTCTACGACGGATTGCCCAGCTGCGGCTGTATCTTTATTGGGGGGGGGGGCTCGATACTCTAGTTCATGCCCTCGTAACCTAGAGATTAGACCACTGTAACGCACTCTACGTGGGACTGCCTTTGAGGCTGATGCGGAAACTCCAGATGGTCCAGAATGCAGCAGCCAGGCTTATTAGTGGGGTGAGAAAATACCAGTATATCTCCCCCACTCTGGCTGCACTGCACTGGTTACCTATTCGTTTCCGCATCGACTTCAAAGTATTAATGATCACATATAAAGCCCTAAACGGTTTGGGACCTCAATATTTGGCAGACCGCCTTCTCCTGCCCAAATCTACCCGAGTGAGCCGACATAGCCAGCGGGGACGGCTGAGGGGACTGACGCCGAGGGAGGCCCGGAAGGAGAAAACTAGAAACCGGGCCTTCTCGGCGGTTGCCCCTCGGCTGTGGAACGCCCTCCCTACTGAAATCCGGCTGGCACCCTCGCCGGGTGTTTTCAAAACCCAATTAAAAACATGTTTATTTAAACAGGTATTCCTCCCCCAGTCAATTAAGTTAAAAAATTTCTTTTTCTTTTTCTTCTTTTTGAATCTTGTTATCTTGGAAACGTGCTGGTTAGAATTAATTGTAATAATTGTATTATATATGTTTATTTTAATGTGTTTTAACCTATGGAAGCCGCCTCGAGTAGATGTTGTCTAGAGGGGCGGGGTAAAATAGAATAAATAAATAAATAAATAAATAAATA